ACAGAATTTTTACGATGCCAAAATTGTTACCAAACAGACAATTTTACGGATGCCGAGAATTGTTACTAGGCCACAAAATTTTATTGGGGGCCACAAATTTTTACTCAGGGCAACAAATTTTACGATGCCAGAAAAAAGTTACTCAGGACAAAAAAATTTACGGATGCCAAAAATTGTTCCCAAAACAACAGAATTTACTAGGCCAAAATTTGTTTTTGGGAAAATTTTAATTAGGCCCAGAATTTTTTACTCGGGGACAACAGAATTTACGATGCCAAAAATTTGTTCCAGGACAGACGAATTGTTCGATGCCAAAGGAATGTTATTTTGGGGGGCCCAAAAATTTAAAATTAGGGCCAAGAATTTTTACTAGGGCCCCAAATTTTATGGGGGCCAAAAATTTTACCAGGACAGACAGAATTGTCCCCGGAGTGCCAAGAATTGTTACTCAGGGACAACAAATTGTACGAGGGGCCAAAAATTTGTTATTTGGGGGCCACAAAATTTTAATTGGGCCAAAATTTTTTACTCGGACAGACAAAATTGTTACTGATTGCCAAGAATTTTTACCAGGCAGACAAATTTTTACCGAGTCCAAAATTTTTGTACTCAGGGCCCAGAAAACTTTACTTTGGGCAACAGATTTTTACTCAGGGACAGTACAGTATTGTTACTGTGTGCAGAGATTGGTTACTCAGGGACAGACAGAATTGTGTACTTTGAGTGCAGAGAATTGTTACTTAGGGCCACAGATACTTTACTTAGCGGCCACAGAATTGTTTAACTCGCACATACACAGAATTGTTACTCGCTCAGGGACCACAGAAAAGTTACATGAGGAGCCACAGTATTGTTACTTGGGGCCACAGAAACGTTAATCAGGGACACAGAATTGTTAACTGAGGGCCACAGAACTGGGTTACTTAGGGCCACAGAATTGTTACTCGCACAGACACAGAATGGGGAGGCAGCACTATTCGCAGCCAGAGGCCAGTGCTCCCGGTGTCATCCAGCGGTCGTGTCTCCACCGACAACACCCTGCCGTCGTCGATTGGTTGGCTCGGTCGTCTTCCTCTTCCCAGGTCACCTCTGACACCTACAGCCAACGGTCGGTGGGTACGTCAGACACAACCGTTAGTTGGCATGGCCCGGGACCAAGCCCACTGAAATCACGTGTCCTCTACCTGCCCCTGTCCTTTGGTGTTCCCTCACCAAGCGAAGTATCGCATGCTGTGGGCTCAGCCCCACTGTACAGTGAGGAAGAGCTAACAGAGGGCGGTCAGGAACGGGGAGCAGCCAGGCGAAGAAGTAGTGGCGAGGAGAGTGGCTCGGTAGCCGGTCTAGAGACAGGTCTGTCTCCTGACCCAGACGCAGCCGAGGGGGCTAGTAGTGAGGCGGAGACCCTACTTGATGATGATGAGGGTTGATCGCACTTGGCAGCCTCGTCGTCATCAGGCAATTTCTTCCGCATCATCAGGAGAAGAGGGTGGCAGCTTGGCAGCGAGCAAAACAGTCGGTGGGTTGCCCAGGAGACAGCAGCAGGGTCGCAGCAGTGTCAGTGGAGCCAAACGTCCACGGAGTAGAGCACCAGCTCCACTGCAGCCTACCACCACGGCCAGTAGTGGTGCCGGTGTGCACGGAGGAAGCAGCAGTCAGCCAGTGAGGAGTATCGGGGGCAAAGTTTCCTACTCGGCGGTGTGGGCAATTTTTCGTCAAGCCGCCCGAGGAAGTAAACGTAGCCGTATGTCGACTATGTGGCCAGAAAGTCAAGCGTGGCCAGGGGGCCCATGTTGGGACTACAGCGTTGCGGCAGCATATGCAGCGTCGCCATTTGGTGGCCTGGGAAAACCGTGATAAAGATACGGCGGTTCTGCCCGCCCCAGCCCCCGCTCCATCACCCGCTCCGTTACTTGCTCCGTCACCCGACGACGTCAATCGCCCTCCATCAGCCAGTCAAGGCTCCAACACCTCTGCTGAGGGGAGTTGTCGCTCGTTGGCATCTTCCGCTCGTTCAGATGCTCCTTCTCCTGCTACTCCTCTTCACGGATTCCGTCAGCAGTCTTTCTTGGAATCCGTTTCCAAGAGACAACAGTTTGCGAGCACGCACCCGACGGTGCAAAAGCTGAACGTCCTCCTGTCCAAGTTGCTGGTGCTGCAGTCCCTCCCTTTCCAAGTGGTGGACTCAGCACCTTTCAGAGAAATGATGGCTTGTGCCGCGCCGCGGTGGAGAGTGCCAAGCCGTCATTTCTTCGCCAAAAAGGCAGTGCCAGCCCTGCATTCACATGTAGAAGACATGGTGGGCCAGTCTTTGAGCATGTCGGTCTCTGCCAAAGTGCACGGCAGCGCCGACGTGTGGAGCTGTAACTATGGTCAGGGACAGTACATGTCATTTACGGCCCACTGGGTGAACGTGGTGCCGTCACAGCCGCACCAGCAACTTGGACAGGTCACGCCGCTTTTGCCTCCACGTTTGCACGTCCTTGGTCCGGCAAAGATGTCCGCCTCTACCACCTCTTCTTCCGCCGTGTCCTCAGCCGCCACCCCCCGTGCCAAGTCCCATTACCCGACCGGCATATCACATGTGCAGGGCGCAACGGTGTCACGCTGTTCTGCACCTGGTATGCCTTGGCGAACGTAGTCACACAGGGGAGGAACTTCTGAGTGTAATGAACAGAGAAATCGACAGATGGCTGTCTCCGCGCAAACTGAAAATCGGAACCATGTTGACCGACAACGGAAAGAACATGGTGTCTGCTCTGCGTCAAGGAAGGTTGTGCCATGCGCCATGCATGGCTCACGTGTTCAATCTGGTTGTCAAGCGGTTCTTAAAATCCACCATCCCACTGCAAGACATCCTTAAAATGTCACGTAAACTTTGCATGCATTTCAGCCATTCCTACACCGCAAAGCACACCCTCCTTGAGCTGCAGCGGCAGAACGGAATTCCACAGCATCGCCTGATCTGCGACGTTGCAACAAGGTGGAATTCAACCCTACACATGTTAGACCCGCCTTTACGAACAGCGAAAGGCCATCACCGATTTCCTGATGTTACAAGCGGATAAAGGTACTCCCCTGTGTAACTTCGATGTCAGCCATTGGCAGCTCATGCGTGACACCTGCCGCTTGCTCAGGCCCTTTGAGGAGGCCCGCTATTCGTGAGTCGGCAGGACTATGGGATGAACGACGTCATTCCTCTGTTGCACGTCCTTGAACAAATGCTGTTAACAATGGCTGGTCAGGGTGCGGTAGACGTGGCGCACAGATCTCAACGCCACATGACCCCTGTGGGGGCAGGACAGGAAGAAGAGGAGGAGGTAGAGGAGGACATTTGTGCTCAGGAATTATTGAGTGAAATGGGTGGTTTTTCCACTCAGCGGACAGGAGTGGAGGAGCAGGAGCATCTGGTAGAGGAGGAGGAGGAGGAGACAGAGGACCCAGACGCACCGTGGCAGTATGCTGTGGAGATGGAGGCAGGGAGTCCCTCGCATTCCTTGGCACAAATGGCCCATAGCATGCTCGGTTGCTTGCGTAGCGACAGCCGAATAATAACCATCAGACAGAGGGATGACTTTTGGCTGTCCACCTTGTTGGACCCTCGCTACCGTTCCAAAATGGTGGCCTTTTTCACACACTGCTGAGAGGGAGGCCAAAATAACGTACTATAAAAACCACCTATGTAGTCAGTTGGTCTCTGCCTTTGTGCGCCAACGTCCATCCTCAGACACTGTGGGCCCTGTGCGCTCGCGTTTCCGCTGCCATGGCAGCAGGGGAGGGGTGGGGTGGTAGGAGCAGTGGCAGCTCCACCAGCAGCAGCTGCCTCAGTCTGCAGTCGATGATGAGTAGCTTTCTTCACCAGCGCAGTGAGGAAACTACTAACCAGCCGCAGCAGCAGCAGCAGCAGCAGCATCAGGTGGACCTGGAGCAGGACCTCAAACAACAGGCTTGGGCCTACTTGGACAGCACCCTGCCAACCGAGGTAGACAATCCCCTTGACTACTGGGCAACGAAACTTGACCTTTGGCCCCAACTAGCTGAATTTGCCCTTGAAAGGCTGTCATGCCCGGCCAGTAGCGTGGCATCGGAGCGCGTGTTTAGTGCGGCAGGAGGTATTGTAACTCCGCGGAGGACACGACTGTCCACCCAAAGTGTGGAGAGACTCACGTTTGTGAAAATGAATCAGGCGTGGATTAGTCTGGATTTCAAACCACCAGTTCCTGACACAACTGACTAAATCCGCCATGAATCATGCCTCAAACATGTGCCACTTTGAGGTCTCCTCACACACTGCTGGTGTGTAGAATTTTTTGACATAGGGTGCTGGCAGATTACGGGCCTCCCATAGCTGCTGCCAGGCCCCTAATCTGCCATAGGCCCCTATATACCGCCTCCTCATGCTGCTGCCAGGTCCAGAGTCTCTCATGGGTCCCTGTACGGCCTCCCATTGCTGCTGTCTCCATCGCCACACTCTGCCATGTGCCACTTTCAGGTCTCCTCACACACTGCTGGTGTGTAGAATTTTTTGACATAGGGTGCTGGCAGATTATGGGCCTCCCATAGCTGCTGCCAGGCCCCTAATCTGCCATAGGCCCCTATATACCGCTTCCTCATGCTGCTGCCAGGTCCAGAGTCTCTCATGGGTCCCTGTACGGCCTCCCATTGCTGCTGTCTCCATCGCCACACTCTGCCATGTGCCACTTTCAGGTCTCCTCACACACTGCTGGTGTGTAGAATTTTTTGACATAGGGTGCTGGCAGATTATGGGCCTCCTATAGCTGCCAGGCCCCTAATCTGCCAGGCCCCTAATCTGCCATGGGCCCCCAGAGTCTATATACCGCCCCTGTACGGCCTCCCATGCTGCTGCCAGGTCCACAGTGTCTCATGCCATGTGCCACTTTCAGGTCTCCTCACACTGCTGGTGTGTTGAATTTTTTGACATAGGGTGCTGGCAGATTATGGGCCTCCCATAGCTGCTGCCAGGCCCCTAATCTGCCATAGGCCCCTATATACCGCTTCCTCATGCTGCTGCCAGGTCCAGAGTCTGTCATGGGTCCCTGTACGGCCTCCCATTGCTGCTGTCTCCATCGCCACACTCTGCCATGTGCCACTTTCAGGTCTCCTCACACACTGCTGCTGTGTAGAATTTTTTTGACATAGGGTGCTGGCAGATTATGGGCCTCCCATAGCTGCTGCCAGGCCCCTAATCTGCCATAGGCCCCTATATACCGCCTCCTCATGCTGCTGCCAGGTCCAGAGTCTGTCATGGGTCCCTGTACGGCCTCCCATTGCTGCTGTCTCCATCGCCACACTCTGCCATGTGCCACTTTCAGGTCTCCTCACACACTGCTGGTGTGTAGAATTTTTTGACATAGGGTGCTGGCAGATTATGGGCCTCCCATAGCTGCTGCCAGGCCCCTAATCTGCCATAGGGCCCCTATATACCGCCTCCTCATGCTGCTGCCAGGTCCAGAGTCTGTCATGGGTCCCTGTACGGCCTCCCATTGCTGCTGTCTCCATCGCCACACTCTGCCATGTGCCACTTTCAGGTCTCCTCACACACTGCTGGTGTGTAGAATTTTTTGACATAGGGGGTGCTGGCAGATTTATGGGCCTCCCATTGCTGCTGCCAGGCCCCTAATCTGCCATAGGCCCCTATATACCGCTTCCTCATGCTGCTGCCAGGTCCAGAGTCTCTCATGGGTCCCTGTACGGCCTCCCATTGCTGCTGTCTCCATCGCCACACTCTGCTCATGCCATGTGCCACTTTCAGGTCTCCTCACACACTGCTGGTGTGTAGAATTTTTTGACATAGGGTGCTGGCAGATTATGGGCCTCCCATAGCTGCTGCCAGGCCCCTAATCTGCCATAGGCCCCTATATACCGCTTCCTCATGCTGCTGCCAGGTCCAGAGTCTCTCATGGGTCCCTGTACGGCCTCCCATTGCTGCTGTCTCCATCGCCACACTCTGCCATGTGCCACTTTCAGGTCTCCTCACACACTGCTGGTGTGTAGAATTTTTTGACATAGGGTGCTGGCAGATTATGGGCCTCCTATAGCTGCTGCCAGGCCCCCCCTAATCTGCCATAGGCCCCTATAGTTACCGCTCCTCATGCTGCTGCCAGGTCCAGAGTCTCTCATGGGTCCCTGTACGGCCCTCCCATTGCTGCTGTCTCCATCGCCACACTCTGCCATGTGCCACTTTCAGGTCTCCTCACACACTGCTGGTGTGTAGAATTTTTTGACATAGGGTGCTGGCAGATTATGGGCCTCCTATAGCTGCTGCCAGGCCCCTAATCTGCCATGGGCCCCTATATACCGCTCCTCATGCTGCTGCCAGGTCCAGAGTCTCTCATGGGTCCCTGTACGGCCTCCCATTGCTGCTGTCTCCATGCCACACTCTGCCATGTGCCACTTTCAGGTCTCCTCACACACTGCTGGTGTGTTGAATTTTTTGACATAGGGTGCTGGCAGATTATGGGCCTCCTATAGCTGCTGCCAGGCCCCTAATCTGCCATAGGCCCCTATATACCGCTTCCTCATGCTGCTGCCAGGTCCAGAGTCTGTCATGGGTCCCTGTACGGCCTCCCATTGCTGCTGTCTCCATCGCCACACTCTGCCATGTGCCACTTTCAGGTCTCCTCACACACTGCTGCTGTGTAGAATTTTTTGACATAGGGTGCTGGCAGATTATGGGCCTCCCATAGCTGCTGCCAGGCCCCTAATCTGCCATAGGCCCCTATATACCGCCTCCTCATGCTGCTGCCAGGTCCAGAGTCTGTCATGGGTCCCTGTACGGCCTCCCATTGCTGCTGTCTCCATCGCCACACTCTGCCATGTGCCACTTTCAGGTCTCCTCACACACTGCTGGTGTGTAGAATTTTTTGACATAGGGTGCTGGCAGATTATGGGCCTCCCATTGCTGCTGCCAGGCCCCTAATCTGCCATAGGCCCCTATATACCACTTCCTCATGCTGCTGCCAGGTCCAGAGTCTCTCATGGGTCCCTGTACGGCCTCCCATTGCTGCTGTCTCCATCGCCACACTCTGCCATGTGCCACTTTCAGGTCTCCTCACACACTGCTGGTGTGTAGAATTTTTTGACATAGGGTGCTGGCAGATTATGGGCCTCCTATAGCTGCTGCCAGGCCCCTAATCTGCCATAGGCCCCTATATACCGCTTCCTCATGCTGCTGCCAGGTCCAGAGTCTCTCATGGGTCCCTGTACGGCCTCCCATTGCTGCTGTCTCCATCGCCACACTCTGCCATGTGCCACTTTCAGGTCTCATCACACACTGCTGGTGTGTAGAATTTTTTGACATAGGGTGCTGGCAGATTACGGGCCTCCCATAGCTGCTGCCAGGCCCCTAATCTGCCATAGGCCCCTGTTGTCGCTTGTTGGCATATTCCGCTCGTTCAGATGCTCCTTCTCCTGCTACTCCTCTTCACGGATTCCGTCAGCAGTCTTTCTTGGAATCCGTTTCCAAGAGACAACAGTTTGCGAGCACGCACCAGACAGTGCAGAAACTGAACGTCCTCCTGTCCAAGTTGCTGCTGCCAGGCTCGTAATCTGTCATGCGCCCCTGTACCGCCTCCTCATGCTGCTGCCAGGTCCAGTGTGTCATGGGCCCCCGTACCGACTCCAAATGCTGCTGCCAGGCCCGTAATCTGTCATGGGCCCCTGTACCGCCTCCCCATGCTGCTGCCACGTCCAGATTGTGTCATGGGTCCCTGTACGGCCTCCCATTGCTGCTGCCAGGCCTGTAATCTGCCATGGGCCCCCGTACCGACTCCTCATGCTGCTGCCAGGCCCGTAATCTGCCATGGGCCCCTGTACCGCCTCCTCATGCTGCTGCCAGGTCCAGAGTGTCTCATGGGTCCCTGTACGGCCTCCCATTGCTGCTGTCTCTATCGCCACACTCTGCCATGTGCCACTTTCAGGTCTCCTCACACTGCTGGTGGTTTCCATTTTTGTCATAGGGTGCTGTATGGCCTCCCATTGCTGCTGCCTCCACCGCCACACTGTGGCTCCACACTCTGGTTTTGGCCCCGTGACTGGCCAAATGAGTGAAGTGTGCGGTGATTCTAAGATCGACGGCACTCATCTGCATGTCATACTGCCTGACAGTATTATTTCTCTTCCCCAGCAGACTGCAAGGGCATTTAAATTAAAGGTACAGTGTTCAGCACTAATATTAAGTCTCTCTGAAGCCTAGAAACACCCTTTTTAAAGTTAAATTCACAGCGAATATATTCGACTCGAATCGAAATTTTTCTACGAATTCGCCGAATCAGTCGAATCGAATTTTTGAATACTTCGCTCATCTCTAACCACAATTGCAAGGAGCATTCTTCCCAGTGACCATTACACTAATACACCTTGTACTGGTAAAATAGTAATTATTACCGGGGGTTCACTGAGACCAGAAAGTTACTTCAAGGGTTCCCCTGTGTTAAAAACTCTTAAGAAAGGCTGATCTAGGCACTTAGCCACATGATCTCCGCTAAAAGCTCAGAAATTATATTTAATAGAAATGTGTTAAATTGCTCACCCATGCTGCCTTTCTCTCCAATCTTCATTAATCTCTTCTGAAAGGCTTTCTGAAGACATTGAGATCCAAGCACTTCGGGTTTAGTTGACAGGTCATATCTGCCTGGACTCTGTGCTTGATGAGCAGTCTTCTCAATTCTTACTACCACTTTCAGTTCAGGCACAAATGCTGCAAGGAAACAATTGACAGCTTGTCTTCCCCAACCATCTCCACCTAGTAGAATCCTCCATTTGGTGGCACACATTCGACTTTTTTTTTTACTTTAGACATCTAAGAAGGAAAATAATCAGAAAATACCTATCAAAGGATTATGTAAAGGGGAAAAGAGAAGATATAGGTGACTTTTAAAGAAAAATTCAACATATGGAACTAAATAAACATTTTGTATAGTGGTATATTAAAAATGTGCAAATCTCTTTTTGATTTGGTCATCACCAATAGGGGTGCTGTGAAAGAAACAGACTATGTTCATGGGGCACAATGGCAACAAGGCTTACACATGTGTAAAGTATAGTAATAAGAGGGGCCAGAAATGTTACTTTGTACAGGAACTCTCTAGTTGCTTGCTACCTCTGAATATGAAATTAGAGATGTAAACAAATATGCTCAGCTGCATACTGGATCGTTTTGTTAAATGGCTTTGGATCATACAATACCTTTACGCATCCAAAGGGCTTTTATCAACTGCAATCATTCATTTGGCAGGGAAGCGTTGCGATATGGTGTCCATGTAAAAAAATTGGATTCATTTAATACTGTAATCCAGAGCAACAGAATAATTAAATATGTGTTAAACCTTAAAGCCAAATATTGTCTAAATAAAAGAGCCATGCACATTGTTTTCTTTCCTGCAGGGTTTACAGGAATTGAAGACTGTTTAGATAGAGTTCATGAAAGGTCCCATCATCCTTCTTTCTGACAAAGGGAGGCAGGTGCATCTTGGGAGCTCAGAGTCCATCTTAAAGGGGAGTTCCACTCAAAAGTGGAAGCTCCGCTTGTTTGCCTCCTCCCTCCACTGCCATATTTGGCATCTTTTGGGGGGGGAGGGGGAAGGGTGAGGACCTGGTTTTGACAGGTGAAGTGAGCCAGAAGTTTGGCTCCCTACTTCCTCCCACAGTCTCCTGGGAACCTTCACAGGTCCCAGAAGACTGCTGGACCAATCAGAATGCACAGCGAGACTTGCGCATGCACAGTGAACACCCGGCTGTGAAGTCTGGTGCCCACAGTTGTGATGCTGGTGCAGAGGAGAGAAGAGACAGAGAAGGGACGGAGCAGGTGAGTACATTGCTGGACCCTGGAACAGGTAAGTGTGTGTTTATTAAAAGTCAGCAGCTACAGTTTTTGTAGCTGCTGACTTTTAATAAACACAAAACTGCCTGGAACTCCACT